GGCTTAGGGTTCAGGGTTTTGGGTGTAGGGTTTAGGGCTTAGGGTTTAGGGCTTAGGGCTTAGGGTTTAGGGTTTGGACTTTAGAGTTTAGGGCATAGGGTTAAGGGCTTAGGGTTTAGGGTTTGGACTTTAGAGTTTAGGGCGTAGTGTCAAGGGCTTCGGGTTTAGGGATTAGGGTTTGAACTGTAATTTCAAGCTTTTTCTCTTTTTTTTATGTGACCTTTTCTCCAAGGCTCATGTCCTTAGGATGCTATTGTAAGGGCGTAGGTTTAAGGGCTTTCGGTTTAGGGCTTAGGGTTTAGAGTTTAGGGCGCAAGGTTTAGGATTTAGGCTTCCTGGTCTAGGGTTTGGTGTTTAAGGCTTAGGGTTTAGGGCGTAGGCGGCGTAGGGGATGTCCAGACATAACAAGACATAACGGGTCCCAATAAAGGATCTTACAAATGCATATACGATCTATCTATCGATCTATCTATATATATATATAGACATATGCATGCACGCTCTCTGGATGGGGTTAGGGTTTAAGGGCTTGAAGAAGGGAGGTCCCTCTTGAAGGGTCCCAAGTATTTTCATATCTTGGAGTCTATATTGGGCCCCCCTGTTCATAGAAGCCCCCACACGGAGATTGTGCCAAAAATGTTGTTTCGAAATTGGTTCGGAATACGCAAGTAATCTACAGCTCCAGGCAAAAACCTCAAGAAACCCTAAACCCGAAACCCTAAAACCCTAAACCCTAAACCCTAAAACCCTAAACCCTAAAACCCCAAACCCTAAAACCCTAAACACTAAAACCCTAAACCCTAAAATCTAATAGGTCTGTCAGCATCATTCCTTGCACATCTGATCAGGGCTCGGGCTCCCAGAGGTGAGCCAACATGTACAGTCCCCCTTCAGTAGATAGAATAGGGGATTTAGGGTTATAGGGTTTAGGGTTTAGGGTTTAGGGCCCCTGAAGTAAATAGAATATGGGGTATATTCTTGGGGTTTCATAGGCTTTTATAGGGTTGAATAATGTTTTATTGGGTTTAATTGGGTTTAGGGTTTGGGGTTTGGGGTTATATAGGGATAATGGAAAAGAAAATGGAAACTACTATAGTGGGTTATATATGGTTTTGGGTTTAGGGCCCCTGATGTAGATAGAATATGGGGTATATGGGAATCTTGTTAAAATATCCCTCAATCCTAAACCCTAAACCCTAAACCCTAAACCCAAAGCATCCCAAAGCCATATTCTATCTACTTAATAAAGGGACTCTACTGGGAACCCCAAACCGAGAACCCCAAGAGTATAGTAGGTATATAATACGAATATACCTACCAGGGTCCTTATATTCCATTATATTCCTGCTATATTCTTGGGGTTCCCTATTTGGGGTTCCCAGTAGAGTCCCTTTACTTAAGGGGCACTATACATCCTCCTTGTATGCAGCTACCACCCGATGGATACGACTGCATTTCTCTGTAGTGGGGGCTATAGCATCCCCATGTGAAATACTACTCATGGACGACACGACCAGGACTGGGCCTCTTCGTCCATAATCACACCGGCAAGTCGATTGCCCACCTGTGCAAACAACAAGGTCTACACAGGTACACATTTGGGTATGCGTGTACGTATGTATATATGTATGTGTGCATGCATGTAGGTAGACTGGTAAGCAGCGGGAAGCGCATGGTAAGATGCAACACACCAGATGATGCAACACGCCAGATAACGACTTTGCCGAAATGCGACACCGACGAACAGCTGCCTTTCATGCCTTGCCAGAGATACTGTTGATACTAAAATCCTGCATGACCCTAATATGCTATGATGGTATACTTCCCAAGGTATAAGGTACTTAGGGTCATGCAGGATTTTTAGTATCCACCGTAGGACACTGCTTGCACTGCTGGAGACTTTTCCTCGCAAACGTTTGCCAAACCTCTGGGAGCAAGTTCACAGCTGCGCTTCATGTCGCAGCTTGATTCACAAGATTCACACCTCTCAGCACCAGAACCCAAAACCATAAACAATGTACAGTAAATTCCATTCTCTCTTCTCCCCCTAGCCCCTGCATACCCCCATGTTCGGAAACTGAGGAACTGAAGTGAAACCCTGACAGCATGAAGCAATCATTCACTGCCACGGCAGCCCATCGCAACAGTTGGAGCCTGCAAGCAACGACAGCTTAACACCGCCTTGACCTGCTGCCTCTCCATGTGCGGGCTTCAAACATCCAAACCGAGGGGTAGCTTTCTGGGGATTCCTATGTTTCGGGATCTGTAGTGGAGTCCCCCTGTTTCGGGCCGCTACAATGTAGATACGACGCAATACACCATGGTGCACGCACCAGCATTTTTGCTTCGGCTCTCATGCTAAGCCAACGAGACGCTAGCATGGAAGGAAAGTCACCACCATGAAGCCTGCAGCTTTGTGGCTCTACTGTGGATACTAAAACTCGGTACTTAGAGTCATGCAGGATTTTTAAGTATCCACCGTATGTACGTGAATTGGCCCACCCCTAAGAAACCACCATCCAGAGAACTCTCTTCTTGGAGTATTGGCTGGAGTTTTGAGAGGAGAATGATATACCGAAATAGCTACACCCTACAACCCCCTAAACTCTTCTTGTTCTTCACTCCGGAGAGTCTCTGACCGGCAGGCAGGATCCGGTGGTCCAGGGCATAGAAGCCTCTGTCCCGACCACGCTGCCCGAGTCACTAAAGGGATGTTTCGGGTGGGGTGCGCATGCACCTGGCACAGAACAAAGAACCTAAGATTTGGGATCTCAAAGGCCTGGGTAGCCAAATTTGCTGGCCCAGTCCTCCACCTCCTTCTTCAGTGCGGTGACCTCTGCGTTGCCTGGGATGGCAGCCTCAAAGTCCTTCAGCTTCTTGCCCTTCTCAGCCTGGATCTTCAGGGCAATCTGGCAACATCGGTCCAAGAAGTCTCCAATCTTCCTGAAGTCCTGTTCCGTGCAGCCTCGGGTGGTCATGGCCGGAGCACCCACGCGCACACCGCCGGGGGACAGGGCAGAGGCATCGCCGTGCACCGCATTGCGGTTCAGGGTGATTGAGGCTGCTTCACAGATCTTCTCAACCTTGGAGCCAGTGAGGCCGTGAGGGCGCAAGTCCCAAAGCAGCAGGTGGTTGTCTGTGCCATCGCTTGCCAGCTTGTGGCCTTTGCCCATCAGGGTCTCTGCCAGGGTCTTGGCATTAGCCTTGACCTGACGGGCATAGTCCTTGAACATGGGCGTGTCCACTTCCAAGAGCTGCGCGGCCAGGGCACCGATTTGATGGTTGTGAGGCCCTCCCTGCAGCGCTGGGAAGACTGCCATGTCGATACGGTCCTTGATGTCGGGGATCTTCTCCGTGTACTTGAAGAAGATCATGCCGGCACGGGGTCCTCGCAGGGACTTGTGGGTTGTGGTGGTCACAACGTCACAGTGCTGGAAGGGAGATGGGTGCTCTCCCGTGGCAACCAGGCCAGAGATGTGGGCAATGTCTGCCATGAGGATGGCACCAACTTCGTCTGCAATTTCTCTGAACTTCCCGAAATCGATGATGCGGGGATAAGCGGAGGCCCCGCAGAGAATCATGGCAGGTCGGAACACCAGGGCCGTCTTGCGCAGCTCATCGAAATCAATCAGTCCAGTTTCCGGGTGCACCCGGTATGGCAGAGACTCAAAGTAAATTGAGGTGGCGGAAATCTTCTTCCGGGCCGTGTAGTAGCCATGGGTCAAGTGCCCCCCACTTGGCAGGTCCAGGCCCATCACCCTGGCATGAGGCGGCAGCAAGGCGGTGTAGACTGCAAAGTTCGCAGGGCTACCCGAATATGGCTGGACATTGACACCCCACTCCTTTTCATCCAGGCTGAAAGCCTTCAGCGCCCGGGCTTTGCAGAGGTTCTCCACCTTGTCAATGACCTCGTTCCCGCCGTAGTAGCGAGCACCGGGCTGGCCCTCAGAGTACTTGTTGGTAAGTGCTGAGCCCAAGCACTCCATGACCGCCCGCGAGGTGAAGTTCTCTGATGCGATCAGCTCAATGCACCTAGTCTGCCGAGCCTTCTCCTGCTGCACCAAGTCGTGCATCACCGGGTCAACCTCCGCCAAAGGCCGGTTGCCTGGCAGTGCTGGCCTGGACTTGGCGCCTGTGGTGATGCCCTGGGCGGAGACCATAAACTTGGCATCGGCCTCAACGGCCTGGAAGGCGGCCGCCTGGGCATCCGTAATCTTCCCCAGACCTTTCAGGATGCCCACCACCACCTTCTCCAGGTTCAGGGTGTAGAAGTGCAAGCCAGGCGCGCCACCTTCCAGAAGCGCCTTGCACATGGCAACGCCCTCTCGGATGCCGAACTCCTGGCTCACGCTTTTACAGCCATAGTCTAAACTCCAGGTATCTTCCCAAATAGCCCCTAAAATAATCGCGTATATCATCCCCTACATAATCCCCATTTTAGGAGTTTAGACACTTGGCTTCGTAGCTGGGGGGATGGCTCGCTCCTTGAAGGCCTCGTCGGAGGTGTTGGCCTTCTCAGCCCGCTCCAGAAGGCCCTCTGGCAGCCGAGTCTTGCACAACTCGGTCATTCGCTTCAGTCCGCCCAAGCCATTCAGGCCTCAAACATGATAGCCACAGTGATAGTGATCGTAATCGTAAGAGTAGTAGCATCAAACACCAATCCAAGTCACACATGAAGATTAGCAGGATACACCAATCACAACCCGGAGAAAAGGCTACTCTGCCCTTGCCCGAATTGTGTGCTTCGAGAAGCCTACATGCATGAATGCCCTCCGCATGCTGAGGCTTTCGCACATGATTCCTGGCACGATAGGCACCTTGATGTCGTACTTGCGGCATTCCTGGACGAACTCCAGGAACACCTGCGAAAGCTTGAAGCAAAGAATCCAGGCCTGCTTCGCAGGGCTCCACCGGGCTTCTTTATTCCCTTGCCTGCGCGTCCAGGAACATCTGGGTGATGACAAAAGCAGCGCCAGCATCGACCTTCTCCTTCAGATAAACCATCTCCTTGTGGAAGTTGGCATCGCGGCAGACCGTCACGACCTCTTTGCCTGACTGGTGCTTGAGAGAAAGGTGGGGGGTGGATCCCTATAACAATCCCTACATAATTTCGATATATACCCCTTTGACCTAGATTCACTCCACCACTCCCCCTTAAGCACCTGTGGATTGCCAAGGAGCCTCGTCCAAGTTACCATAAAATGGGTATAGAGTAAAGAATTGGCTTTCCGTATCACACTACCTTAATTTAAGTTCCTTAACAGCAGCCCTGAACCCTAAGCCCTAAACCCTACACCCTCAGCCCCAAACCCTAAACCCTAAACCCTAAACCCTAAATAGTAGTTTCCATTGTATTTTCCATTATCCCTAGGGATAATATAGCCCCTATATCAACCCTTAAGCAGCAAGCCAGTTGCCCGACTCATCTTTGACGACTCGTGCCCTGCGCTTCTCTGACTCCGTAAGGGCAGCCAGGCCTCCCTCGACAGTCTCAATGTTGTCCTGGGTTGCTGTTTAGGATTTGGGGTTTAGGGTTTAGGGTGTAGGGTTTTGGGTTTAGGGTGTAGGGTTTAGGGTGTAGGGTATAGGGTGTAGCGTTTTGGCAGGATGTGAGCTATAGTCTAAACTCCTAGTATCCCCCTTAATATCCCCTATCGTAGTCCCTGTACAATCCCCTATATAACCCTCTTTAAGGAGTTTAGACTATAGCTCATGTAGAGTTTAGGGTGTAGGGTGTAGGGTTTAGGGTGTAGCGTTTTCGGTTTAGGGTTTAGGGTTTAGCGTGTAGGGTTTAGGGTTTAGGCTAAGGAACGTGCTTTAAGGTACCGTACTGAAGAAACCGTATTAATTACCGTATTAACTACTGTATATACCCATTGTGATCGCTTAAATTGAATTCCTTAACAGCAACCCAGTGTCTGGATGTCCCTCCGGATAGCCAGCCACGGAGACAGAGAAGTAGTCCCCAAAGTTCTTCCGGATGAACTTGACCAAGTCAAGAGCACTGCTAAAGCCGCCTTCAGTTGCGGTCCACTTCTCCTGGCCTCGGGGAGGATCACCCCCTAAACCCTAAACCCCAAACCCTAAACCCTAAACCCTCCTGGCCTCGGGGAGGATCCCCTCTGAGGGCCACGATGTTTCGCACTCCGAGCTGCTTGCACTCCTTCACTTATGGGGAGAATGGAAACTACTATAGTATGTTGGGGCTATGTAGGGATAATGAAAAAAGAGTTCACACTTTTGAAGCCCTTTGATCCTTGGGGATTATGGGTTGTTCTCGAAATTGTGGGCCCCTTCTGGTTGTAGATTAAATTGCGGCACCTAATATTAAGGGGTACCAAAAGGGGACCCTAATTTAATCCTAAGTAGTAGTTTCCATTTTGTTTTCCACTATCTCTATTTGTGTGATATATATATATATATATATCTCTTGAGGTACTTAATGTGTATAGCTCCTAGTGGTTTTAAGGTATTAAGCCACTCCTTCAGAGCATTCTCCGTCATCTCGGAACTCTGGTTTGTGCAGGTCAGGTGCATGTTCGCCACACATCCGAACCTAGCTACAAGCAGGCAGGAAGGAATGGATCCTCATAGACGCTAAACCCTAAACCCCAATCCCTAAATCCTGAACCCTAAACCCTAAACCCTAAATCCTAATCCCTAAACCCTAAACCCTAAATCCTAATCCCTAAACCCTAAACCCCATAGTAGTTTCTTTTCT